ACTTCTCCATGTCTATGCTGGGCTTCTTTCTGGCTTGAACTTGCATAGACTTGTGCATGCCATTACCATTGTTGTGAGTTTATGTGAGTAACCGATCAACTGTCTGGAAGCTGTTTCCTTGTGGTCATCCACCTCCTCTGGCTCTGACAGTCTTTCTGCCTCCTCTTCCGCAATGATCCCTGAGCCTTAGGAGGCAGAGGTGTGAAATAGCTATCCTACTCAGGGATAAGTATTCAGGGGCCTCTTGTTGTAATTTATTTTCTTTATCAACAAAATTGGGAGTTTAACCATCCATGAAAATTTACAGGATAGATTTGTATGCACACATGCAGACACATGCACAGACATGATTTCCTCTATAAACAATCTGTTTAGATCCTTTGGTTTATTTTCTTTTGTACTATTCATTCATTGTTCTTGATTTGTTAGAATGTGTGTGAGTGTGTGTGTATGAATTATATGTTTATTATATTCATTCATATTTTTCTTTCTTTACCCTCTGGGATTAAAAAAAGTTTACAATAAAAAAAAAGAAAAAAGAAAAGAAGCTGGTCATGGTGGCACATGCCTATGATCCCAGCACTAGGGAGATTCAGCAAGAGGAGAGTCAGTTCAAAAATTAAGTAACCAAATAAGACCCTTAATAAGTCTATGAACATTAAACTAAAATAAATATTAAAAATTCTGACATGAAAATGCAGTTCACACTATATACATTAGAACATCACCGCTGAAGATAAGCAAACAATAAGCTTACCCGGAAGTGTTTGAAAAGTACGATGATGGACGTGGCCAGGTGCTGCTACCCTGTTCTGTGCTGAGGGACAGAGGCAGTGCTGAGGGGTGGCCACACTACAGGATGAAGCCAGCAAGATCCTGTTCCAACATCCTGTCCTGACTGCAGATTCTAGGCCCTAAGCGAGATTCACAAGGTTCTAGGTAACCTCCTCAGGCCGGTCTTAACAGTTCTCTAGTTCTGCTGCCATCAGTTATCAAATACTACAGGTCTGGAGCTCTCTGGGAAGTTTAGGAGCAGTGGAAATTTGAGACTGCTAAACCCCCAAATGCTGGCTGTCTATTGTACTGTTTTGGGGAGAGCTAGTTACTATTCATTTCTATTGCTGTTGGGATTATAAACTCATAAAACTATGGGGAAACGAATTCATATTATGTAAAAATTATTTATTTCCTTTGACCAGTGGGTACACATGTAGAAATCTGTTTTAAAGGGAGAATTAGAGATATACGCCAGAGAGATATTCACAACTGTCTAGCAGCACTGGTATAATAGCAAAATACAGGGAATAACGCCAATAGCCATTAACAGGAAAGTAAAGTATTATATGCTTATATGGTAGAAGATGAAACAATTATTATAAATAATATTTTTGGAATAATTTCATAGATGTGAGAAAATGCTTAGCATCTATTATTGAGGTGTTTTTTTTTTTGTTTTTTTTTTTTAATCAGAATATACTCTGAAGGCAGACGCAAGCAGATCTCTGTGAATTTGAGGCCAGCCTGGTCTACAAAGTTAGTTCCAGGTCAGTCAGAGCTACACAGTGAATCCATGCCTCAAACAAACAAACAAACAAACAAGCAAACAAGCAAACAAACCAAAACAAACAACAGACAAACAAACTATGGTACAACGAAGGAATGGTGGTATACACCTGTAATCTTAGCACTTGGGAGGCTGAGGCATGAGAATCGTAAGTTTGAGGCCAGTCTGAGCTACATAGCAAGACCTTGTCTAAAAGAAAACTGTAATAAATCTATGCATATGTCTTGTAAACATTTTTGTGAGAAATATATTATGCCTTTGGATATGTCTGCATGTTTACAACACTAAGCACAGAATGAAAAGAAATCCAGACATGTAGTTCTTATTTATCATTCTAAGGAATCTGTGTTGCAGAATTATTCATGTGTGTGTTAACATGCATTCCTTCACAAATGAAGGAATACCACAAAACCTCACCTTTTTATTTAGCAATACATCCCAGAAGTCATTCCACATAAGAAAATACACCATTACTTTTAAAAAATATTTTTTGTTTTTATGTGTATGAGTGTATTACCTACATGTGTATAAGTGCATCTGTGTCATTCAATGCCCACAGAGATCAGAAGAAGGTGTCAGAGCCCCTGAAACTAGAGTTACAGACAGTTGTTAGCCATTGTGTGGGTGCTGGGAATCAACCCAGGTCCTCTGCAAGAGCAGTCAGTGCTCTTTACCACTGAGCCAACTCTCTAGTCCCACAGTCCATTATTTTTATTTAAATTTATTTATTTTAGTTGAAATTAAATTATTTTAAAACTAATATGTAAAAATAAAAATTGTACCTATTTACAAGGTACCATGTGATGTTTGTTACATATATAATGTATATGTATTTATACATTTATTATTTTAAGGCTACATGTTTCCTAATATGGGTGGAGTATTGTTTGTTCACTATGTCCTTTATTACCAGACATTTGTTACATCTTTGCCACTACAAACAAAGTTACAATAAACCAGCTGTGTGTTTGTTATTAGGTACAGGTATAGGGACATCTGCACAGTAAATTCCTTGATAAGAAATTACTGGGTCAGATGTTTCTATCAAAACTGGGAGCTGTATGCTTGTAATCCCAGCACTCAGGAGGTTGAATTGGGAAGACTGCCCATAATTCTGAAGTCAGTCTGGACTACATAGTGAATCCTAGGTCAGCATGGCCTGCAGAGTGAACCCCTGTCTCAAAACAGAAAACAAACAAAAACATACGGCAGAAAAAAATGTATACAGACACAAATTTAAAAGATTATTTAATAATAGCATGTGACTCAGAAATACTGTTTTTTAAAAGCCCTCAATATAATAACCTTAAATACCTAGTTTATGGCTGGGTATGGTGCCGCACACTTTTAATGCCACCATTAGAGAGGCAGAGGCAGGTGAATCTCTGTGAGTTTGAGGCCAGTCTGGTCTAAATAGAGAATTCCAGGACAGCCAGGCCTATACAATGAGACCCTGTCTCAAAACAACAACAACCTCCTCCCCCCAAAAAAACCCCACAAAAAAACCCCTAGTTTATTTTTCTATTTTGGTTTCTTTTTTACTGTTATGTATCATGCCACTATAAAGTCACAATGTATAGCTTCTTGCAGGGGCAATGTCTTCTTGTTCATTACAAGTTTCTCCAAGTCTCTGAAGCAGAGTCTGACTAATAGAGAGTGAGAAAGTGCTGCCTGATTGAATGACTGAACGAATGAAATTCAAACAAACAGTTTTCTTCACAGGCTTTTTTGTATTCTGTTTTGTTGAGATAGGGGTCTCATGTAGCCCAAACTGGTCTTGAACTTCCTCCCTATGTAGCCAAGGATGACCTTGAACTCCTGATCTTCCTAACTCCAGCTCTCAAGTGCTGGGTTTACAGGCATGTGCCATCATACCTGACTTTTGCTGACCGCTTTTAGTAATAGCACATTTGGTTTTTGTTGGGATTTTTTGCCTCAGAGCTGGAGACCAAACCCAGAGCCTTGTGTTTGCTAGGCAAGTGCTCTACCACTGAGCTATAGCCTCACCTAACAATACCACATTCTGGTCTTAGGTCACGTTTCCTAGAAGCAGCGCCTGAGACAGGGATTTATATGCATTTATGGAGAAAATTCTCACAAAAGAATCCTGGAAGGAAGGAAGGAAGGAAGGAAGGAGGAAGGAAGGAAGGAAGGAAGGAAGAAAGGAAGGAAGGAAGGAAGAAAGGAAGGAAAGGGAAGGGAAGGGAAGAAAGGAAGGGAAGGAAGGAAGGAAAGATGACATTGCTTCAGACCGAGTCCAGTCCCAGCCTGACCTAAGAGGGATCCTGGAGCATAGTTATGCTGTAGGGTCCCTCCCCAAGAGGTGCTATGCCATACATTTTACTTCTATTCGTCCAACTTTGGTTGCAGGTGGGCAAAGCATATACTTTTACTGGGCAATTTCTGGAAAAGGAAGCCATGTTGAGTCATTAGAAGCTGGTATCTGAAGTGGCTGAAGGATAGATAGGTACCTAGCCTACAGGAACTCTGGGCAGGGCATCAAAGTGTCCATTATGGGAACCCACCCATTTCTTAGCTGTGTCCATGTAGAAAAGTCCACTTATACATGTACTTCTCCCCAGTCTTTGACTTTAAAGGTTCCCATTCCTCATCTAACATACACACATGCAAAGAAAGGTAAACAATGACATGTGTTGCTTCTCTTAATAAAAGGTTAGCCCAGTGAGCTAATGAATGAAATGAACGTGCTTCCTTTAAAAAGTATGCTCAACACACAGAAAAATATGTAAAATAAATTTAGCAAAAACTTAACTAAATGAATGTAACTGTTGGCAAAGAACTAAATGAAATTTTTGTATCTGTCAAGTATATATTCTCCTGGATTAGATTTTGTTATCGGGTTAAGACTGATGTTTTGGGATGCCTGTCTTCAAATTTCAATACGTGTCAGTGTTTCCTAAGTCTTAGTGGAAGTTTCCTCAGATATTTAAAAACCTTATTTTTGGAGGGCAGGTAACAGAGCTATAATGATAATGAAAGGAAAGCCTAAGGATGAACTAATCTAAATCTCTCAGTTGACAGGAATGACATGTGACAGGTTTCAGAAAGGCTGTGCTGAAGTCCTATCATGCACCTTCCCTTCTAGAACTTCCTGATACACTCGCTCCTGTGTCTCCCAGGGGAACACAGACTTAGTTTGGATTCATACTTATTGTTTCCTTTTTTATAACCCTGGCAATGTTTCCCAGGGACAATTAACTCTGCAAAAGAGAACAATTCTTTGGGAATTACATTTTTCTGAACACTCACACAGTGAATTGGAATGTGAAGGACAAAAAGCAGACTGGGTTAGACGTCAGGCTTCCTTGACACATCCATATTTTAGATGGTTGGGAAATGCCTTAGAGGCTTGGTTTTCCTCTGTGTTATTGTTCTTGAAATTGTCACCAGGCTCAAAGTAGAAATGGGCTCATGCTAATTATTTACAACAACTTTCCAGGGGGACAGGAGTCATCCTCCCTGGGCAGGGTTGAATATCTCAACCCTTCTGTATCTTCTCCCTGAGGAGGCTGAGCTCTGACAGGCTGCCCCAGGGAACAGGGAAGTCTCAAGGTAAGACATCTACAGGGGATAGTAATTACAGCCTTCAGACAGAATGGGGTTAGGCTTAATTAACGGAGTTGGGTTTTTTTCCCAAGGGCCCAACACTTGCACAAGTTTTTCTGTGGATAAGCAGAGAGAAAGCAGACATTTGTAAGTCTAGCAGGAATCTCTCCAGCCTCTTGGGGGCCTGTAATTTTCAAAGAGGCTATGGGACTAAATGGGAATGAATGGACCAACCCTGTTGAGCCATGCCCTCTAGCCTGCCACTGACTCAGCCAAGAAAGAGCTGCTTCTTTCTCTGCTGCCATTTCTCTAGAGCTCTGTTGTTGTTGGCATTTTTACTTTTTTCATTTTCTTGTCCAGTCCCTACAACATGCTGTGAGGAGGGTAGAGAGTCTTATTTCATAGACAAGAGGGAGGTGATTAGCCATGTCCAAATAGGTGGTAAACAAGCCAATCCTTGGGTAATGAAGCCTTACCCCTCACTTTCTCTAAGGATGACGCAGAGCTACCACCTAGTGTTTACTCTTTTTTCCCAAGTGTCTGACTGGGTAAACAGAGAAAACTTTTGGTTTGGTCAAAGTGGGATTCCACTCTGTGGAAAGATATAAACCCTAAACCCAAGTTGTTTGATTTGTCCTGGGAAATACAAACTCTATTTTTTTTTTCCTCTCATAAAAGTGCACCGACATGCTCAGTTTATGCTGTGCTGGGGATCAAACCCATGACCCATCCACTGCTAGGCAAGTACTCTACCAGCTGAGCTACATCCCAACCTTTGACTCTTTAGGAATTTTCTCATTCCCTAGTATGCTAGGTTTCTCTACACGGAAGCCCACAGATCATTCTGTTTAAGAGTTCTATATTCATACCAGGGCTGCTCTGAGGGATGTGGCATCCAACAAACACTTAGTAAGAGCTGACTTGTGCCTCAACAGACTTGACAAGGTGGATACATGGTGAGTGCAGCGAAAGCACATTCTTGCTGTATTCAGCTGCTTCTTCCTCCTGTGGCCATTACAGTCAAGTGACCTATGCATATCCCAGTAAAGCTCAGCCCCAGACTCAAGAAGCGCCACCTATCGAGTTCCTACAATGCTCAAGGCAGTGAACCTCTCTATACTATCCACATGCTGCCTAGAAACCTCCCCTCTATAGTCCCCCTGAGGCCAAAGTATAGCACAATTCATTCTGTCATTCCTGGAGAGAGCTAGGCTTGGTGTCCCGATGAGACAACACTCCCTACTTTCTCTTAGGATTAATTTAAATTAAAAGCATTTTATGCTTATCACCTCTCCCCTTTTAACATATTATTAACATGGCTTGCTCTCCTTAAAATCACCCCATGAAGTAATTTTGTATTCACTTTACATATGGGGAAACAAGATTAGTGAGGTTCAATTATGCACTCAACTATGACCTTTAGGAAGAGCAGAGACTCAACCTAGAACTTTCACTCCAAATCCTATGTTTTCTCTACATTGAAACAAACAACGTATCTTCCTGCCTCCTAAAGAATACTAGCTTCTTGCTAGGTGTGGTGATGCAGGCCTGTATCCCAGCATTTGGGAAGTAGAGATAGGGAGATCAGGAGTTCAAGGCCAGCCTGGGCTATAGGAGATTCTTTCTCAAAAGAAAAAAAAAAAAAAAGCTATTGAATGAATGACACCAGATGCCAGCGGTACAAAATCACACATGATGAGAACAATTCACAGGGAGCACAGGTAGACCAGGGCATTGCTGCATCCGCTTCCTAAAGGTTTACCAATGACCTTCTTGGGCCAGTAAACCTTTTATCAACAGTTCAAAGAGAATGTCAAATTCTAGCAGGACTATACACTTTGTGAGCTTAAGACTACAAAATGGTTTTCTTAGAATATTTGCTCCTCATATTAAATCCTTCCACTTGTTATCCTTTGATATATTCTTCTTCCTTTATTCAACTACTTGGAAAATGTTTTCGTGAATATATACTGTGTGCCAGGCACAATTCCAGGCACTCCAACCCGTTTTGCTCTCTGCCTTCCTCTGCATGCATTCCTCTATAAAGTTATCCATTATTAACCATCTATGAGTCATAGGGTGTCAGCTGCTTTCTGAGACAGAGTCTCCCTGTAGTCACAGCTCACCTAGAACTCGCTATGTAGACCAGGCTTGCCTTGAACTCATAGAGATCCACCTGCCTCTGCCTCTCCAGTGCTAGGATTAAAGGTATGTGCCACCACACCTGGCCAATAGCTCCCCTTTTTAATATTCCATTTCTTGGGATAGCTAAAGAACATGGGAAAATCCTAGGGAAACTTTTCCTTACCAGCTCCGGGTCTAAACACACAGCACAGTGAAAGGAATTGCCTTAGCCATGCTCTTTACTTGGTTGTATGATGCTGGGAATCACTGCCCTAATGAGAGCCTCAGTTTTGTCCTCTACAAAATGGAGATCACACCAATTATAGCATAAAACTACAGAAAACCATGAATATTCCAGTACAAGTGTCTAGCTCAGGGTCCGACATGGCCAAAGCTTTCAGCATGAGACCCTCAACAGGGTGATTTTATAAATCTTCAAGCAGCCATCTTCCTGCCAACAGGAACAGAGGCATCTAGCAGCCTCCTGATTATCTGTGGTCACCTCAGGGTGGCTTCAGACAGGGTTACATTAGGGCAACACTAGCCCAATTGCAGTCTTTGTTTTAATCACCCAGAGCAGCATCACAGTCTTAGGGCACAAAGCAGTGACATTCCAGTTCCCTGACGAGACACTCAAGGGAGCAGATTCTTGGAAAGGGATGAAGGTGGGAGGAGGCTGGCTCCCTTCTGTATAGCCTCTTTTTGTCTGCCTTGCATGGGGGTCGGGGTTTCCTCCATTTCCAACGTTCCTTCAGGAGAGGAGGAGAGCTGCTTGTATCATGGTCTTGGTGATTCTGAGGAATAGTCCATCGCCATCAAGGGGTACACAGAAGTGGGAAGAATGTGGCATAGCCCTGCCCTGCCTGAGTGATGAACTTCTAGCAGCACAGGCAACTCTGCTGGTGGGGGGGGGGCAATAAATGGCTTCCATCAAGCATGAAGATGGAGAACTCCCAGATGTCTACAACTGTTTTGGACTTAACAAAAAAAGACACTAGCAAGAGCCTCCTCTTCTCTCTGCCTCTCAAAGCTCTACACACACACACACACACACACACACACACACACACACACACAGAGAGAGAGAGAGAGAGAGAGAGAGAGAGAGAGAGAGAGAGAGAGAGAGAGAGAGAAATGAATAAGTTCGCAGACCAGAAGGGACCTCTTAGGGGAGCCCAGTCAGCCAGTGCTTTGATCTTGGGCTTCCAGGCTCCAGAACTATGAGAAATAACTGTCTACAGCATTGTGTTACGGTGATTTGAGCAGACCAAGCCAAGGCTTCACTACAGACTTTTCATAAGTAAGGCTTTCTTCCCCTTTGGTACTCTCCACAGGTTTCCAGCTATGGGCACATCTCAGACTGGGCGCTAAGTGCTTGCAAAAGAAATGCAAGAAGCCTTACCACACACAAGGTGCACGATGAGAACCATTCAACACGGAGGGTATGTGGTGACAAACATCAGTCAGTCGATTCACCTTGCTAGACATTGTTGTAGCTGAGATTGAAAACGGGGCGGGGCTGTTTTGAGTTCACCCCAACACACAGCAAGTTGAACAACTGTGAACAGTATCTAAGACCTCAATACACTAACCGCCCAGCACAATGCTAGGCACACAAACAGTATTCAGTAACTGGTTTTCTCCTGCACCGTTCCGAGCCCTCATTTCCCCACAGAGAACTGAGTGACAAGAATTTTCCAAGTCTGCTGGATGCGGGCACCCCGTCCCCTCTTGCATTGGCCCATGCCTCTAATACAGTTGGAAGTACTCGCTTAGAGAAACTTGCTGAAGCTGCAACGCCGGCCTAGGCCCGCGCACGCGCCTGGGCCAGCGCCAGAGCAGCGCCTGCTAGTTACCTTTCACCTAGTTCGGCTGAGATCGCGAGCGGGGTAACTCCAGGTCAGACTCCCGGCCCTACGCCTGCGCCTCGCTGCCTGCGCGCTGCAGCTGGGCGTCTAGAGCGGTGATGTTTTTGGTGCTTTCGGTTCCTTTCTGAGACGCAGAGTGTGGGCTTTTCGGATGTGCCCTGATTTCTGGCTGGGTACGATCGCGGGCCTGGCAGAGTGATCCAGAGCACCACCCCCAGCCATCACCCCGCCCCCACACCCCCTGGCCTTCCACAGCTCCTTGCCCCCATCGGTGTCCCCCACTTCCTCCTTCTCCCGCAGCTGGAGAAGATTCAGCGCTGCTCATCATCCCCGTAGGTCCTGACCTCCCACTTCTCCCCGCAAAAGAGCAAGACTGACTCCAGATCCAGAGGGGAGTCCACGAGGGCTAGAAGCCACGTGGGCCTGTTGCAGCCGGGGAGGACCGGGATCTAACAACTGGGTCTAATGAGAAGGAGCGAGAGGAGGGAGAGGCTGCAGCCCGCCCGGGGTTACTGCCGGGCATCGTGCGGGCGGGGCGGGCGCTGGCGAATGACGGGGGAGGGTGTCTGGGCCTCAGAAACCACTGCAGCCCTCTGGAGAGGTTTGGGGCTCTCAACCACAACAGCCTCGGTTATGGCGGTTAGGAGCCCTGAGTAGGTAGCTCATCTGCTCCAGGGACCTCCTGCTCTCCCTGCATCCCACCTGTAGGGAGCTGAGAGGGGTGTCAGGAGAGCCAGGCTCCTCAAAAATACCTTTTCCTTCCGATAGTTTGAGCCCTTCTCTACCTACCTCTGGTACCTGAAGTCCAGTAGTAATCCCAAAGGAGTGGGAGCAATTTACTTGGGTTGGTCCAGGCTATGTGAGGTGCTAGGGTCAAGGGAGATGAGGCTTTTCCCTCTTTAGAATTAGCATCCTGAGGGAACTAGGCTTGGTGGCGCAGGCCTTTAGTCCCAGCACTGGGGAGGCAGAGTCAGGTGAATCTCTGTGAGTTCAAGGCCAGCTTGGTCTACATAGTGAGTTCAGGTCAGCTGGGACTACAGGGAGAGCCTGTCTCAAAAAGACAAAAAAAAACAAACCCGAATTGTAAAACTTGGAGTTAGTCAGGTGGTTCCCAGGCCCTTCTGCGTTAAAAGTGACCAACCCTACGATTTTTTTCAACCCCTAATGTCATATCTCCTCCATTTCAGACTGGGGCTGCAGGGAGCAGTGATAAGAAGAATTACCGTCAAAAGGAAGCCTGCGTTCCCCCGTGGACATTTTGAGGTCTCCTAGGTTTCTTTGAAAGGTTCTGTAACTCTTTAAAGACATTAACATTGGATGATGGTTGCAATTCATTAACCCTGAAAGGACTAACAAACTCAGAGGCATACAGCCTTATATTTTTTGACTCTGCCATGGCCCCAGCACAGTGTATAATGTATAATGCAGTCAGTTGATGTAAAAGGATAAAATAATTTTTATGACTCATATGGGTCTTAAGCTTTGGGGGGGGTGATGTCAGGGATGAGACAAGGTTTTCATGTAGCCTCACCTCACCTGGAACTTGTTGTGTAGACCAGACTGGCCTTAGTCTCACAGGGATCCGCCTCTGCCTTCCCAGTGCTGGGATTAAAGGCATGCACCTCCACACCCAACTCTGCCTTATTTTTTTTAATATGAATGGACTTTTAAAAACTCACAGCAGGTGCATATGACACATGAGGAAAGAAAAAAAACAGTGAAGACTGAATGTTGAGAAGCAAGTTGAAACACTGTTAACCTGATACTACTACATCCTAAATGAAGAGTCCATACATTTTAATACACATTAATAAAAAGTCCATCATTATAAAAATTCCAGTAATACCTTTACTAGGGGATTGAAAATAAGGTATTGTCTTAGTTTCAGTTCCTATTGCTGTTATAAAAGAGAGTTTATTTTGGCTCACAGTTCTAGGTTACAGTCCACTAGGGTTAGGAAGTCAGAGGCATCTGGTCACATTGCATCAACAGCTAAGAAACAGAGCATGATGGAGGCAAGCTGGGGCTCAGCATCCTTTCTCCACTTACACAGTCCAGGATCCCAGCCAGGGGAGGATGCCATCAACAGTGGGCAGGTCTTCCCACCTCCATTAATGCAGTAAAGAAAATGCCCAGAGGCCCATCTCCTAGGAGACTCTAGATTCTGACAACACAACCATCACAGGTACCAACAAACAAGAGCTTCTTTACATGTAATCATGATAATGATGTGAGCTAAGTGAACGCAAAATTCTGGTTTCCATTTTATGAAGGAAAATCTATGGCTAAGGGAGGTTGAGCACCTTGCCTAAGGTAACAGCTAGCTTGTGATAGAACTGAGCTCATAGTTTCATAGGCCATGCCTTCTGCTTTGAGAGTGCTTTTCCAATAATGCATTTGTGGAGGGTGAGGGAGGATGGTGTTGGAGAGAGAAGAGATTTGTCTGGAGGTGAAGGAGAGGGTGGGAACTTATCATTATTACAGTTATTATTTATTATTTATAGTCTTTCAGGCACAAGGTTAGTATCTCTTACATGCATTTATTTAATTCTTCTAACAACTTCTGGAGATAAATATCACTAGGTCCTTTAGTGCAATCAAGAAAACTGTTCATCCTTTTCCAACTAGATGACCTTGGGCGTACTTCTAACCTCTCTGAGCCTAAGTTTTCCTGGTTATAGAATGGGAAGTTAGACCCACTATGCAGCATTGCTTTTGGAACCAACAGAAATAATGTATGTTTAATAACTTCCTCCCCCTGTGCCCTAGTCCCAGCAATTTAATGGCCAGCAGTTTAATGAAGTCCTTAAAAAAGATAATTTCAAATCTTCAGCAAGCTCTTGTTGTGGTTAAAGTGTGGTCTTTAAGGATCCAATTAGGTTCTAAAAGCCTAGATGATTTACTGGCATTGTGGAACAAGAAGAAATGTGGGGTTTGGGATAATCCAAAAATGGAAGCTTGGTGTGTGTGTTGGGGGGGGGTGCTATGGCCTGAATCCCACATTAAGATTTATTCCCCAATGTAATACTTTCCAGTGATTAGGTCATACTGACTCTGCCCTTATAAAGAATGATGCCTTTATAGAGAGGTCTGAGGAAGATCACTCACATCTTCTGCCACATGAGAACTCATTGAAAGTACTATCATTGGAGCAGAAAGTTGTCACTAGACATCTGCTGGTGCCTTGGTATTGGACTTTCAGCCTCTAGAAATGCTAGCGTAACTTTCTGTTATTGGAAAGTTACTTGGTCTAAACAGTATCTTGAATGGACTGAGACAGTCAGGAAAAGGAATTGAGGGGTAGATTATGGAACCCAATAGGACAACAGATTGCAAGATGTGCACATGGATGGGCAAAGGGCTTACAGAGAATAACACAATAATGTTAAGCAAACACACTCATAAAGACAAGCATCACATGCTTTCTCTCATGTGGATCTAGATTTTACATACATATGTATGTGTTATTCATATATATGAAGGAGAATATATGAGAAACATAATGAGATTAGGAGGAGGAAAGGGTAATGAAAGATGAACATGTTCAAAGTGCATGAAAAGGACATGATATACCTAATGACCGTGTCTTTGTGAAGCCTACCACAATGTATAATGAGTAAGAGTAAGATGACTGATACTGACTCAAATAAATTTAGATCAATGTTGAGGTGTCATAATATAAAGCCTCCTTTTTCCCAAAGGCTCATCAAAAGTTGCTACATACATACATACATACATACATACATACATACATACATTTTTTTCAGACAGGGTCTTATGTAGCCCAGTCTTGTCTCAAACTTGCTATGTAGCTGAAGGTGACCATGACCTTTTAAATTTTTATTTATTATTTTTATTGTATGTGTATGGGTGTGTTGCTTGCATGTATGTAAGTGCACCTGTGTCATACAATGCCCACAGAGGTCAGAAGAGGGGTTGCCTAGAACTGGAGTTATGGTCAGTTGTTAGCCGCCATGTGGGTGCTGGGATTCAAACACTGGTCCTCAGCAAGAGCAGTGAGTCCTCTTAACTGCTGAGCCATCTCTCCAGCCCCGACCTTGATCTTTTGATCCTCCTGTCTCTAAGACCAAAGTGTTGGGATTACAGGCATGTATCAGTCTCCATGCCCAGTTTATGTGGTGCTTGGGATTAAACTCAGGAATTACTGCATGCTGGGCAAACACTTTACCAACTTCGCTATATCCCTAGCCCCATGCAAATGTCTTGTTAGGTTTTGTGTCACTATTAGCTTGATTAATAACTGTGAGGTACTTGGAGACCAAAAAAACAATCCTCAAACAGAATACATCCAACTGAGGTGACATTTGGAACATTAGCTAATCAAGAAATACAAGATACTTGTTGGGATTCAGAGACCTCCTGGGGGAATACGAGATTTCCATAGTCTGTGGAAAGGGAAGCTTAAACCACTTGTTATATCCACCTGAAGAGTCAAGATAACTCCAGCTGGCATCTTGAGTTCAGATGTAAAGAACCTAACAAAGTAGGTACTTCTAAAAGTAATTTAAAAATTCAATTTATCCAATGGTTTGTGGCTTTTCCATGTGGAAATTGTTCCAAGAATGTTCAATATATGTAAATATATAGAATTTGGGTGGTGTACGTATATATTTGTGCAGGTGTACGTGTGTGTGTGTGTGTGTGTGTGTGTGTGTAAACCAGAGGTCAACAGGTATCTTCCTTCATTGCTCTCCACCTTGCTTTTGAGGCAGGGTCTCACTGAACCTTGGACTCATCAATTCAGCTAGGCTGGCTGGCCAATAAATTCCAAGGATCTGCCTCTTGGCCCCCCTCCCCAAGCATTGGGGTTACAATTCGTGCCCCTGGCTTTTACATGGATCCTAGGGATCAAAATTCAAGTGCTCATGTTTGAGTAGCAAGCACTCTTCCAACTGAGTCATCTCCCAGCCCTTACAGACATAGACTTTTCAATTGTCATTACATTATCTGTATTATTATGACCCCATTTTAAAGATGCACATCTCAAAGAAGACTTACCCCTTACCACTAAAATGACCCCATTTTAAAGAAACAAGTCTCAAAGAAGGCTTAACCACAGCTATTAAGTGGTACACCAGGGCTCAAAGACAGGCACACATGCATTCCAACTAGCAACTCTCATGGGCTCTCTAACTGGAATTGGCATTATTTTGTACTGCCAAGCCCTTTGTGGACATTATGGCTGTAGGTTGACATTGATTAGAAGCACCAATGAAGAACGCATAGAAAACATTTGAATGCTGTTTTCAATGAACTTCTCTAACCATTGGTTTTCTCAAGCATAAAATAAAGACAATGACACCTGTATCACTGAGTTATTTATAAGATGGCATGAGACAGTTCAGGTGAGCACACTTTGAAGCCAAAAATACACTATACAAATGTTATTTGCATTGCTGAGGAGAAAAATGGTATTTGAAACAAATCAGTCTACTCAATTTCCAGGTATACTTTGATAATGAAGATTCAACCATATCCCCAAAAAGAACTCAGTGTCCTCTCGAAACAAAAAAAGAACACTTCCATTTGCTATTCGTTTGCATCAGCTTGTTCATATATTCCATAATTCCTTACACTGAATCTTTCCACTGCATTACAAGCCAAAAAGAGAGATGAGAGGAGCCAGCTGGCCACCGGGGAAAGTGCTTTCTCATCTGTTAGAGTATCTTCCTCATCCATCAAAGGCTTTCCTGAGATTGGATGCTTTTCTCATTTGTTCTCTCTTCCTCCTCTGGCACATCTCTGGGTCCTTCAGTCAATTGTAAATCATTCCTTGGATACAGATTACCTTCTCTTGGGCCCCTTCCACCCGCCCCATCAACTCTCCTTAAGAACTGATATATTTTCTGTCTCACAAGATGGTACCCCAAAGCTACCAAATAAAGATATTTAAGAATAGCCATTCTTGTTCTATAGCAAGAAATCAATATACCAAACAAAAGTTTAGGTTTTTTCAGGGTGGAACAAGAAGGTTCTAGGAAGCAGAACATCTATTACCTTCATAGATTGTACCAAAGCTGCTCATAAATGAGACTGCAGGAGTTCATTGGAGTTTTGCCATTCATCTCCTTCTCTTCATAAGCATTAAAGGTGAAGAGTAATGAGTATTTGTTTTGTAGTCATTTGCTAGATCTAGGGTTTCTAAATACACGTATGAGAGTTAACAGAATTTAAAAGTCCAAGCTGGGTGTGGTGGCTCACGCCTTTAATCCCAGCACTCGGGAGGCAGAGGCAGGCAGATCTCTGTGAGTTCAAGGCCAATCTGGTCTACATAGCGAGTTCCAGGATAGCTGGGGCTACAGGGAGACCCTCTCTCAAAAAAACAAAAAAAGAATTTAAAAGTCCATAATATGGACACATCATCAGAAGGCAAGTTAATTTTAAATTAGTGTGTAAAGAGGATGAAGCAGAGGAGGAGGGTTTATTCTCTAAGTGGATAGCAATAAAGATCCTCTGATAAACATGCAAAGCACATAATATAGGTTAATTTCTTCCTGAATCTGCTGCTGTGTTAACTTCCACCAACTGCGTTATTCCATCCACGAGATTTAAGAAGAGTTAAAATTACTGAGAATTTGGTTCTGAGAATTAGACTAACGAGTTGTATACTTTATCTCATTTAGTGCTCATAATGTTACCCAGTGAAGTATGGCCCTTGGGGATGAGGAAGTGGAGGCAAGAGGACATTAAGCGTGTCGTCCAACATTGCCATTCTGTGAAGTAGAATGGCTGGAAAGTGTCAGTAGCTCCCTAACCCTGAAGTTCCTGGCCTGAAGCCTTGTTTAGAGTTCCTTCTCTGTTTCTAACAGAATGGCTTCTATTTTCCACTCCTCATTTTGTTTCTGTACTCTTGAATCGAATAAATTACTTCTGTAGATAATACTTTCTTGAACAAAACCAGTAAGTAGTTGTAATAACAGTATCAGGTGCCCCTGGAGGTTATCCTAAGTGTTACCTACCCTTGGGCTGGCCTCTCGTACAGTTCAATTCAGATCTGACAAACCCTATGCTTTCTTCCTCATTATGTATCAGGAAATAAAAGTGGAAGTAGAAAAAAATATCATTGGATTGAGAATCAAGTCTTTGGACTCCCTACTTGCAGAACTAAAGTAATGCCTGCTTTGTTGACCTCAGTCATCCT